GTGCACTCCATGCTCAAGTGTACCCACTCCAAACAAAATATGTTCAGAACTGGATGGGACTGGCTGCCGGCGCTGCCCATACCTCCCAACTGCAGACTGCTCTCAGCCCAGCCCCGATGAGGCGTTTAGGAGCAGGGGAGGTGGTCACATGCAGTTACTGCACCAAGGCCAGCCAAGAGCTGCTTCTGGGTGGTGTGTGTGTGCGCATGCGCGCCTCTTTACCTTTGAGCCACACACACCCCAAAAGGAAAAGCAGCCAGGGGAAGGAGGGAGAAGACAAGCTGGGGGAAAGGCAGAGATTTTGAGAAGACGAGAGAGGGAAAAGAAAAGAGTTGGGGGAAACAACAAGGGAAAGGAGAAAATGAGGAAGAGCGATGAGGGGAAGAATGGGGGGAGGAAGGGAGGCGGGGCCAGAAAGGTCCAAAGAGAAATAAAAGGGAGCAAAGATGCAGAGGTTGGGGAGGGAGATGCTGGTGTGTCCAGAACTCTTGGGTTTGCGACCCATCAGGGCAGAGGAGGGAACAGTGAAGTAGCCACCCTCCCCACCCATTCTGAGACCTTGTGCTGCTTCTGAGACCTCTGCAAGTGATGGCAAAAGGAGGCAAACCCCTGGAGGGCAGGCAAGGCTTGCGCGCGCTCTCTCTCTTCCCCCCTCCTTTAAGGAGGGGGAGGAGATCTCAGGCTCAACCGATGGAGGGACAATCTCATGCATGCAGGCTCTCTCCCCTAGGAAGCAGGAACAGCAAGCAGGAGGGAGGGGTTGAGGGAACTGAGTAAAAGGAACTGTGATACGGCTACAGCCGCCCAACTGCCACGATGTCTCCGACACGGCTCCTACTGATGTCAATCGACAGGTGTTCAAATGCTCGGTCCCGACATCCAAGTCCAAAACCCACACCCCCGCTAAGAAACGCAGGGAGGGTAAGGACATTAAACCTGTCAAGCAGAAGAAGCACAAGAGAGACTCGACCGAACCCAAGGTTTCCCCACGTAAGGTTCTATCGACACCTCTGTGATTGCCGGAACCATCCTCTGTGCTTGTGCCCAAATTGCTTGACTCACCAGTCCGTGGTCGAACGCAGGGTGGAGCATCCTCACCCATGCTGCGTCCAATACAGCTCACGGACTCTGAGCAGGATGTGGACTTAACTCAGCGATTCCAATCCTCCGGTGTCAAGAGCCTCCTCTCCGGGGAGGCTGCAACTCTGCACATCACTCCCCTCGCCACTTGTCCATTGACGATCGGGATCAATCTTTGGGACCGTGGCTCCATGGGACCAATGTCAATGGCAATTCCTGTATGGGGCCTACCCACTGTCAACCAGCATGCCCTGGCTCCCACCTCCCATGCAGACAGAATGGGATCAACAATCTATGTCCTCCCGCCTTGGAACCCACTCCGACACTGGAAAAACAGTTGCCACTGCCATCAAGCCTCTTAAACAGACACCTGTGACAAAGCAGAAAATAACCCCATCGGTGCCGATGACTTTGGCACCGAAAATCCCGATCCAATACTCGGACCCATCAGACCAGTCTGATTTGTCCAATGCCTTGCAAGAATTGGGTGATGAGAGTCCAGAACATCTGGCAATTTCTTCTCCACCGCAGAAGGTATTGGAAGATCTCACAATTTCTGCATCGGAAGACCTAAAGTCCTATGGAGAGTTCATCAAGAGAATGGCCAATACCCTAACTCTGTCTACGGTACAGCCTTCTCCCGCCATTACCAATACAGTCTTCGATATTGTCCCGATGTGCATTTCGGCAGCTGTTGCCCTTCCCATGACCTCAGTACTGCTGCAGGCTGTGAAGGTTCCTTGACCTCGCCAAGCCTCCACTCCCATTTCTAGCCATAGAATCAACCATATGTATAAGGTCCAGGAAACGGTTGCCGAGTTCCTGTTCACACACCTGAAACTGAACTCTGTGGTGGTGAATTTGTCCTCAAAAGGCAGACGTGCTCCCTCCACGCCCCCTGATAAAGAAGGGGGAAAGTTGGATTCCTTCGGGAGAAAATTTTATTCGGCTGGTGCACTGGACAGCAAAACTCCCAGCCTCACCCATCTGCCCATCCGGGTCCCCTGGCCCACCTGACAGTAAAGTAATTACTGGTCAGGAGTGAATCCTCCCTAGCTGGCAGCTCATGTTGCCCTGGTCACAGACTGACACGTCCCTTACTTGGAGAGTTTTCCCTGGGAGAGGAGGCCAACTGCAATGGTGCAGGTGGCTTCCAGGCCTCAGGTGGTGCAGGAGATTATTCCCCACTCATTTATCATGTTACTGGGAGTAGAGGAATGGTGGAGCCCAGGGAGAGAGCACCACCTGCCTCTATGCGGTTGTTCCCCAGGCCCCGGGCAGGTCACGCGGGGGGGGGGGGTCGATGATCACATTACTATTTAAGGGTGGAGGGTGGGGCCCAGGGAAAGAATGTCACCCGTCCCTGTGGGGTGTTCCCTGCGCCCCAGGCAAGGTGGAGGGGGTTGGCCCTGCCCAGTACTCACATAATCTGTGGGTGGAGGGTGGACCCAGGGAGTGAACACCACCTGCCCCTGTGTAGGTGTTCTCCGGACCCTGGGCAGGGTGGGAGGATCTGCCCTACCCAGCAGTCACATTGCCAGTAGGTGGAGGGTGGGCCCAGGAAGACAGTGCCACCCACCCCTTTGATGGGGTTCCCTGGGACTGGGTGGGAGGTTCTGCCCTGGTCAGTAATCACATTGCTCTTTCTGGGTGGAGGGTGAGCCTGGGGAGTAAGCCCCGGGTCCTCTTCTCCATCCCAAGGACCCCCCACAAAAACTTTAAAATAAACAATTGATGGACGTGAGTGATGCCCTCCCTCTCTTGGGATGTTCCCTGTGCTGGTCATCCTGGTCGGTGATCACTTTACCATTTAAGGGTGGATGGGCCTGGGGAGAGAGCTCCACCCACCCCTGTGGTTGGCCCCAGGAAGACAGAGGCACCTGCAACTGTCTGAGTGGTCCCCGGTGAGGTCCTCTGGGAGTTGGATGCCTGTAGCTTAACCAGTTCTGCTCTGTTCTGTCTGAAACTGGCACTGGACAACTCTTCCAGAAGCAGTTTCAGGTGGCACCTGGCTTGGGGGTCCCCTACTTGGACCCCCTATACCTGACAGGGAGATGACTTGTGGGGCATGTGTAGGGCCATCCCAGGGAGGGACTGTGCAAGTTGGTTTCAATGGAGGGGGAAAGGCATTTAAAGAGACTGCGGTTAAATTTTAAATGCTTGCTGAGTTCATTCACTGAGTCACGTGGCCGCGGCGCAACTCAGTGTGTGAACTCAGAAGGCATTTAAAGGTATCGTTGCCACGCCCAAATATCAGCTTTTATTAGGGCACAGCTATTTCGGTAGCCAAATCAGATTCCCCTAACTGTATTCAGCTGAATAAATACCTGAAAAATACTTTAAAGGTATTTTGGGGGTATTTATTTGGCTTGGTATATACCGAGCACACACCCCTAGAGTGCACCCTCCAAAGCTGTCATTTCTTCCGAGGGAACTGGTCTCTCTAGGCCAGTTGTAAATTTCTTGAGAACTCCTGACCCTTTTTGGATGGTAGTAACTAATTTCTTTTCCCTTCAGTGATTAGTACTGGTTTAAGCTGCCTCAGAATTCACCAGGAGCTGGGCCTTTGCAGTGGCCACCCCAACATTGTGGAATACCACCCCATGTGTAATTTGGTTCCCTCGTTTTCATTCTGGGGGGCAAGTGAACACCATCCTTTTCTGCTATGCTTTCGAAGGAGGTTGGTTTAATTTTGCTGGCTGACTTTTATTCTGGAATACATAAGGTATCTTACTGTTTTTATTATTTCTACTCCTTCTGTTTTTATTAGGATCATCTTTGTGGCTTTCATTAGTCCATAAACTTCTTTGAAAACTTTTAAACAATTCAAAGCAGTTACATAAATTGAGTAAAACAAATAATAGTGCAATGACCGTTGCGATCATTCATAGGAGCCAGAAGCCAGAAGCAGCTCAGATCTAACAAACCATCAGGTTTGTGGTAAATTTACCTAAATTCAGTCTGCCACCTTAAGCATGTTCTTTGGACAGACAGTATAGAAGTGTTCTGAATAAATACATTCCTTAGAATTACGGTACAATATTTTTAATCTGAAAAATATGACTACTGCCCTATGGTGCATCGCTCCACGGTTTTGTATATTCATGTTATTAGATACAGCTGGTTAACTTATCTTCACACACAACAAAGTTTGAGTCCAGTGGCACCTTGAAAACCAACAAAGTTTTATTCAATGTATAAGCTTTCAAATTTTGGACTCAAATTGTGTTCTGCTGCTTCAGACCCACATAGCTACCCACCTGAATTTATCTTCACGCAGACACCCCAACCCATTGTCTAAAACAGTACTGTGAATGTGGCAGTACCACTAGAAACATACTGATCCTTGTTTGACAGGCACAAATTCTAGCTGGGTAGGACTAATAAGCTTTGGGTGGTGGGTTGAAACTGGTTGTTAAAGCAACTATTAGAAATTTCCCCCCCAAAAGCAAGCCGCTGTGACATTTTACCTTTAGTCTGAAGGATACTGAACAGCTTAGGTTCAGTTTATTTCAAAGGATTTCAGGCTCAATTAGCTTCAGCTGACAAGAAGTTGCTAGTGTTAGGCTGTTCTTGTGCCACTTCCACATTATGTGTATTTGCCAAACAACAACAAAAAGAGGGTCAAATAAATTATTACAGCTTTTTTGGGGGGGATGAGTGATTCTGTTGGCTGTCACCTGCTTACCATCTTTCCTTGTATCTGCCAGATGGTATACATACTGCCCTTGTTAAGTTTACCCTGCCATTCCAAAGGAGCCCTATATAGGATCCAGCTTGGAAATATAAAACCAATTGAGGTGTTAATTTGCTACTGAATTGATATGTCCCTTGCTACAGATAACCAGATACTAATAAAATAAAATAAAGCACTTTGCTTGCTAATATGTCTATCCTGTAGAAAATCAGAAGGTTCTGTCTTTTTTTTTTTTTTTAACAAGGAAGCATATGCAATTAAAAGTGGGAAATAATGATCATATTGCATTGTGAGTGGAATATCCAGGAGATCCTAAGATTGTCTGGCAGGCAGAGGTTTTAGCTACTTTAGCGTTATGCATTACTAGGTGGCGAGCTAGATCTGTTTTTAAGGCAGATGTTTCAGAGGTGGTTTGCCATTGCCTGCCTCTGTGTCATGACCCTGGTATTCCTTGGAGTTTGCCCTTCCAAATAATAGCCAAGGGCAACCCTGCTTAGCTTCTGAGATCTGATGGGATCAGGCTAGCCTGGGCTATCCAGGTCAGGGCTGAAGGTGGGAAGTATCCATCTCTTGAGAACTGTTCTCTCCCTGCCCACTAAATTGCATCAAGTGTAAGCCCAGTGACTGTAAGAAGAGGGTATTGATACTGCTTAGAACTGAAACCAAACTTAATTTTCAAACAGTGCTGATTGTTTTTGAAAAAAATGTGGCTCTTTATTTCATCTCTATAAGAATATAATCTGCTATTACAAACAACTTTATTTCTTTGTAAAAAAGCACACTCTTCTTTACAAAAGAAAGGGATTAAAAGTTGTAATAGATTTCAGCCAAAGGCTCACTAGGTGGGGATTATATGTCATGCCCCCTAAATTAGCCATCTTCCATCAGGCTTTGGTCTCAGAAGGAAGAGTAAACCATTGATGCTGAGGAGCTGCCTTTGGTTTCATGAAGAGATCGGTTTATTTCACCTCTTTACCAAGAGAGTATGAAGACTATAAAACAGCCTTTTCTGCCCCTTAGCAACAGACAGAGGCTATTCTAGTACCAGAGGGAATAGCCTATTAATATTGCAGTTACATACTCTGAAGGCCCAGTTTCCCCTGAGAATTATCACTTGAAAACAGAGCTGATGCCGTCTTGACAGATACAACATTTGAGGTTTCTCGCTACAGGCACTGTTTCATGAAATTAAACATGCACCCAACAATGCTGTAAAAGCCTTTCGCTGCTGGCACAGATGTTGCTTCTTAGAAGTCTCCAACACATTCAGGAACCACTGATGATACGGCAACGCCGTCTGTGAATTTGACCCTGCACTGGCTCACATGGCAGCACTTCACCATCCACTGTCATGTGCCCCTTAAGCATGGAGGGTTCAATCCGGAAGGCTTTCACAGGCACATAGTGGAGATACGGGCAGTTGAGAGTCAAATGGGTCCCTTTTTCCAAGGCCATGAGGAATTTGATCATTGCCATCCTGGAAACCCCGGCAGTCAGGTAGAAAACGTGGATGGCATCATCATACAGCTTGGCTGGGGGAGCCAGAATAAGGTCTGTTCCGAGGTGGGATTGGTAGATGCAAACAATGGAGACAAACTCCTCCTCGGGCACTGCAATCCAGTCTTTGGGAACGGACTGTTCAAAGGGTACCAGTAAAGAATCCTCAAGCACAGAGCCCTGCTGAGGACGGGCGGAAACGGACTGCCCGTTGCAGAAGGAGACTGGGTTGGCACGCTGTGCTGAAAGGCTGCTCTGCTCCCCTTGTGAGGATATAGAGTTTGGCGCTTCAACAGGCAGGTAGGAGAGATGGCCCTTGTAGACTTGGAGCGTGGTCAGGTGTTGCAGGGTGCCCAGAGTGAAGCGGGCACTGCCCAGTTTGCGGTATCTTTCGCTGGTGATGTCAACATCAGAGACGAAACCCCAGCTAAAGCTGAGGAAGGAGAACAGACGCTTGCCTGAGGCAGTACGTAGGGACACCAGGTCCAGGGGAGCATGCAAGCCTTTGCATAGGAAATAAGTGCAGCTCATCAGCAGCTCTTCTTTCAAGAGGCAGACCTTGCTGCAGAAGAAGAAAGAAAACTGTCAGATAGCGAGGCACTGAAAAGCAGCCCAAACCAAGCGCAAAGGTTTGCAGCATAACATCCTATATTAAGCAAGCTGTTAATTCATAGGTCCCATCTCCTCCATGTCACAGGCCAAATCCACATAATACCTTTTCAGCAGGCCTCCTGCCACAGAACTGCTTTCCTTTGGTGCTGAAATTAAAACAACCCCACCACCTGGGAAATGCAGAGTTAGAATTCCCATTCTACGTCGCTGTGATGCAGTGGTTCTTCAGCATCCACCCCACCACAACACAAAGGTAATCAATCAAGTGCGCCATCACCTCGTGAGAAAGGTTCCCGAAAAGCTGCTTTTCATCTACAGACCTCTGCTCAAACCAAAGCTTAACTAGTGGTAGATTAGATAGGGCTGGATAGAGAAGATCGTGCACTTAAATATCTGCAGCAGTCTACTTACTTGCAGCAACAGACGGAAGAATGGACAGCTCCAAGCCACTGTTGTCCAATCTGATTTACTAAAACAAGAAAGGCTGGCCAGAAAGACCAAGAAGGGGATGTACTAAATGAGGGTGTATGAGCATGCACAGCTGCACCTTCTTGAATGTCTTTGACCAACCACTCAGTCAGGGACAAGAGATAGTGGTGTGAGGGTGTATTAAGCTTTTCCTCCCCATTGTCGTTTTGCCAATCTGAAATACTCTTGCTGTGTTCCTCACTAGGCAAACATACAGGTACAAATAACAGTGTTTGTATGTGTCTCCACAAGGGCAAGCAGTGACTCCACAGGGCATGTGTCAGGTTAAGAAACTGTCACAGGAGGGGAAGGCTTTACCCCTCCTCTACCTCCCTTCATGCCACAGTACTGACTAGAATTTGTTGGCCCCTACACACCTGTCATTTGAAAAACAAACACTTGGACTCCTGGTGTCACATCTGGTTTGGCCTTAATCCTGATAGGAACTGTTTCAACTGGTCAATGAGGCCCTCGCTGGCCATTTGTGGATCTTTTGTAGTTCCTGCAGTAGCTGACATGGATAGCCCAGGCTAGCCCAATCTTGCCAGTTCTTGGAAACTAAGCAGGGTCGGCCCTGGTTAGTATTTGGATGGGACACCACCAAGGAAGTCCACAGTTGCTACGCAAAGGTAGGTACTGGCAAACCACTTTGGAATGTCTCTTGCCTTGAAACCCCTACAGGGTTGCCATAAATTGGCTATGACATGATCAATGTTCCCTCTAAGCTGTGGAGTCTTGTGAGCAAAAATTCTACTTTGTGAGCTACTGGCATTAAAGCTGTGAGCGAGCTATTTGGCTACTGCATACATTAGTTTTCTTTGGAGTCATCCTTCCTGAGCTAAGACAAAACTGTGTGAGCTGGAGGCTAAAAAACTGTGAGCTAGCTCACACTAACTCAGCTTAGAGGGAACACTGGACATGATGGCAAAATATAAAGTTCATCCTAATGTGCTTATATATACCACAATTCAGTGCCTTCTGCAGAGTCAAGGAAGTTGCAACCTGACAGTCACAAAGCTGTGCCATGCACTGTGGGCCAGTTTGCTTATTGGAGTCAACAGGTATGGAAAAACGCATTGGGGGTGGTAGAACAAATTAGGATAGCAGCTAAAGGAGAATGGAGGAGAGAAATAAGGGAAATGGTCCTGTTAATGGGAAGGACGGGCTAGACTATGCACAAGCTTTGCAGAGTTCCAGAGGGATAACTTGTGTCAGTCCACTGCAGCAAAATAAAAGAGAAGCCTAGGGACATCTTAAAGACTCACATAATTTATCTCAGTATGAGCGTTCATGGATCAAAGCTCACTCATTCAGATGCTACCGAAAGGAAATCATTATGGAGATTTTTTTAAAAAAAATCACAGAGCTCCCTCCTTGTGCTCACTTTGAGTGGGCCTGGGCATGGTCTCAGGGCCATCATTCCCAGCTGCAGAAACCTGATAATTAACAGTTCCATTTGTCCGGGGGTACGCCAGGTGGCTGAGGCAGCTTGTTAGGGAGAAGAAAGTAACCCATTAGTGACTTCCTCCACCAAAATGAAACCCATGAGGAATAGAGGATTAGCCACAGAGCAGATGGAAGAAGTAGCCAGCTGTGCAGAAGGCAAAGGCCAGGTCTGAGGAGTTGGGGGTATAAATTCAGGGAGGAAACCTGAGCCAAGGACCTGCAATTACACTGCCTTTGTGAATTAACCTTCTCCCCTTTCCAACAAGTGACAACAGTGCTAGGAGACACCAGCCACCATCATCTGTCAAGAGGGAACCCACCAGGCCCATATGAAGTCACTGCCACCAAAACTAGTAGAGAGAGGCAGGGATAAACCGTGTTCTAATTGTCCTGGGATATTCCTTCAACCTCAAGGCAATTAATTTATGCACTAAACCGGGCCCCTGTCATTGTTGGATTATCTGGAGGTGATCCATGTTGGAAGTGGAGGACTGTTTATGCTGTCTCCTGCCTCAGACTATATAGGAAGACTCAGGGGTCGTTTCGTAGAAAAAGAGCTAGGGGAACTCATTAGCATAACTCATTAGCATATGCCACACCCCTGACATCAGGGGCCCGGTGGTGGACCTGCAAGGCCAGCGGGAGTGCGAGGAAGCCCCGCCAAGGCCCTCCCTGGCCCCAGGCAGGCAGGGGTGGGGAGAGGTGGGGAGGAAGCAACTTACTCTCCCTCTTCTCCTGCCTCCTCCTGGCTGAATGAGGGCCGGAAGCGGGGCGGCCGGAAGCAGGGGGCGGGGATTCATCGTGTGCCCCGCCCCCCGCACCTCACCCGGGGGAACTGTGATCCCCCCCGATCCCCCCCGAATCGACCTCTGGGAAGACTGCAATAGAATCAGAGAGATAGACAGACTAGGAAAATAAACATCCTTTCCCTCTCTCTGATGCTATCCCCTTTGACGTGTAGATTGCTACTCTTAGGGAAAAGCAGGGCTCTTTTTGTAGAAAAAGCCCAGCAGGAACTCATTAGCATAATAGACCACACCCAATAGCAGAAACTCATTAGCATAGTAGGCCACACCCCTGGCCGCACAGCTCATTAGCATATTGTGCCACATTCACAAGCAACGGACAACCCAGAAGACTAAAGATGCATCAGAGTTTGTAACTCTCCAATAATTAAACAAATTCTGGAGCAGAAGGCTATGGGATATTATAAATGATAGCTAGAAGGAACTTTAATAACCAGTATGCCAGTTTCTGGGGTCAAACAACAGGATATGGCTGTCCCCTCCATGATTTGCTGATCAGGTTGCAGAAACAGCTGTCTGTCAACTGGTAAAATTGTCAAACTAGAAGAAACCATCAGACACTTTAAAATAATCTCCACACATTATTAGTTTGTAGTATGTAAAGACAAAATCCAAATCACCAAATTATGCTGATTCCTCCTAGGTGTATTATACTCCTTCATTATACACCATATGACCAGGCCTCCCAAAGAGAAATACTGTTTTTTTTAAAAAAGCAATACCAAAATATTACAAAATCACAGACCCTATCAAGCTATCATTGCGGTCGTTTTCATAAAATATATTTTATCTGTGTACTCTTCTCTACTTTAGGAAGATTTGTTTAGCCTTGCTAGAAAAGTATATGTTCTCCCATTGAAAGACCCTGAAGGAACAACAATCTAGGGCCACAACAAATATGGTTCCATGTACAGGGCCCTTTCACAATTGGCTGCTGCATACATAAAATTATGCTGGGCATACTGTTTTGAGTGGTGGTCCCCTGAATTCAGTATAATAAGGACACTACTGTTCTGGTAGTATATTTGCAGCAGTGACCAGTCAGATCTTTCTGGAAATTGAGCCCAAATGGAATAGCTATTTTTGTACCCTTCATTCAAAAAAATGGACAAAGTGGCTTTGGTCAGTTGCTTTCTCTCAGTCTAGCCAGCATCACAAGGCTGTTGCAAAGCTAAAATGAAGAAGTGAAGAACTGTGTGTACTATTCCCGCAGACAGAAGGGAAGGCTGCAATATGCAGACACTTAACATGCAAGGGAATCTGTTTACTGACTCACCATAAGACAAGCTTCATCGCTTCAATAGTTCAAATTTAGCTTCAAATTAGTCCTCTTACCAAGTGCAATGGCATTTTGATTTCCCCCTTTTAAATAAAGGACCAGAATCAAAACCCATCCACTAATCAATGAAAAGGTGGTTGGAGTGAAAAGGGGAGCTTAGCCTCATATTCAAACTAGACTGCAGTAGGGAAGAAAATGTGTTCCAATGCAGGGGGCAGCTCTCTTACAGCCATGTGTCTCACTTTAGAAGGTGGGCAGACACAAAGAAGGGCATGAGAAGAAGATTGCCACATCCTTGACCTCTTGCTTTCACAATGGAAGACTTTTTTTCATGGCAGTGTAACTTTCAGCACCTCAGTTTTGAGCTAATGCTTAAGAAATTAAATGCACTATATCTTTATAGGAACATAAGAACATAAGAGAAGCCAATGTTGGATCAGGCCAATGGCCCATCTAGTCCAACACTCTGTGCCACACAGTGACCAAGAATACCAGGACCGATTTTAAAAATTCATCATTACTGCATTAATACTTTGAAAGTTTAACTTTTCAAAATGTATCTGGGGAGTAAACCCCAGTGCAAGGATTTCATGATGACTGGTGGTGGTGACATTGTTCATGGCTCCCTCATTCTTACGTGCAGAATATGAGGGAGAGGGAGAAAGAAAGGGGTGGGTGGGTTAAACCCAGGAGGAGAGGCATTCTTTTTTTATTCCTTTCTGGGTGGTTGTTAAACATTCTATTGGTCAAACATACCACACCCTGGCTTTATGTGTAAGGTACATTTTTCTTTTCTTTTTACAAAATTGGTGTCTCATAATAGCTATCACCTTACCACCCCTAAAGTGGGCACACGCTTACCAAGTTACAAAGCGAAGGTGGGGAAATTCCTGGATGGATCTGAGTGATTAAATAGGCTTGACACCCAGGCTTTCCTTTTACACTTAGGAC